TGCCTTGATCAGCTGATTTCAGCAAACAGCTGATTTTCTCGATCAGCTGATTTCTGCAAACAGCTGATTTTTTGCTCTTCCAAAAGTAATACCTGCAGCCCCTCCATTGGTTTTCCACAAATCAAAAACATCAACTATTTAAAATTGTAATACCTCTCTGCTACCTCCTCGTTTCCATTACACAGACCCAACTGTACACAAAGTTAATCATTACAAAATGAATTTTACTCTAACAAAGCATTTTCAATGAGGGACCTTTTTTCGCAGAAAGATACTCTACAAAAAAAATTAATAAATACTGGTGGTTCTTATCACTATGGCAAACTATGAAATCAAAAGGGACAGCCAGCCCCCACCACCCATCAACTGAAACTCTAATAAATTTTTTACAATGTTTTACCATCGTCGTAAAATCTGACTGTCATAAATGCAATATCCTTTTACAACCATTTGCATATAAATATAGAACGCAGAATGCAATAATAAGAGAATTAGAAAGAGAGAGAGAGAGTGAGAGCGAGACAGAAAGAGACACATCATTGTCTCTTGCCATGATATGCGGAATATGTCGAAACTATTATTTAAAACAAAGGATTGTAAACTCATGATGCGATTTTCGTTTGCAGATATTCAAATGACGCCATGGGGATTACGATTGTATATTTGGTGAAAATTGTTTAGAAAGTCATTTCGAAATGACATTTTAGTGTTTTTTTTTTAAGGGCCAACATACGACGTTTTGTTAATTCGAATATGCAGAGACCAATAGTGGGGCAAAGGACCATCAAACGTGGATTTTTAAAGTTTTTTTTTTTTTTTTTTTATAAGGGTGTTGATTTTTAAAGGTTTTTTTCAAGGACGTGGATTCCGAAAGGATATTAATTTTTTCAAGGACGTAGATTCTGAAATAACATTTTTTCAAGGACTGAATTCTTAAATACTTTTTTTCAAGGATGTAGAGTTGTAAATAATATTTTATTGAGGGACGTGGATTTTATTTAAGGATGTGGATTTTTAACTAATATTTTTTCAAGGATGTGGATTTTTAACTAATATCTTTTTCAAAGACTTGGATTCCTTATGGATATTTTTTCAAGGATATGGATTTTTAAAAAATATTTATTTAAGGATGTGTATTTTTAACTACTATTTTTTTCAAGAACGTGGATTCTTAAAGGATATTTTTCCAAGGACGTAGATTCTTAAAGAATATTTATTTCAAGGACGTGGATTCTTAACGGATATTTTTCAAGGAGAGATTTTTTAAGAATATTTTTTTTCAAGGACGTGGATTTTTAAAAAATATGGATTCTTAAAAGATTTTTAATTTTTCAAGGTGGTAGATTCTTAAAGGATATTTTTTCAAGGGCGTGGATTCTTAAAGGATATTTTTTTAAGGACGTGGATTTTCAAAGAATATTTTTTAAGGATATAGATTTTAAACTAATATTTTTTCAAGGACGTTGATTCTTAAAGAATATATTTTTCTTTAAGTTTTTTTAAAGAATATTTTTTTTTTTAAAGACGTGGATTCTTAAAGGATATTTTTTCAAGGTCGTGGATTCTTAAAGAATGTTTTTCAAGGACGTAGATTCTTTAAGAATTTTTTTCAAGGTCGTGGAATTTTAAGGAATGTTTTTGTTTTTCAAGGACGTGGACATCTAAAGAATATTTTTTTGAAGGACGTGGACATGAAATGGATTCTTAAAGAATATCTTTTCAAGGATGTAGAATTTTTTGAAGGATCAAAGGACTATTAAATGAAGAATATTTTTTAAAGAATTAGTGGATCAGAACTTGAATTTTTAAGAATATTTTATTTAAAGGACATGGGTTTTTAAATAAAATCGTTTCAAAGGTCGTGAGTTAATTATAAGAATTAAAAGTGCGTGGATTTTTTTCTAAGCATCTAAGGGACATAATGTAAAGAACTCCAAGGATTAAAAACACCGTTGATTTTTTAATATTTTTTCCAAGGACTGAAAGAATGAGGATTTTTAAATAAAATTGCTTTCAAGAATTAAAAAGACGTGGATGTTGTAATGATTTTTTTGGGGATTAAAATGACGTTGATTTTATATAAAATATTTTTTCTCCAAGGATTAAAGTGACGTGGATATTTAAATACAAAAAGTTCAAGGATAAAAAAGGACGTGGATTTTTAACAGACATTTTTTCCGAGAATTAAAAGGAGCTCACGAAATTCAGAATTCAGAAAACGAAAGATTTTTAAATATTTTTTTTTTTCAAGGAGTAAGGTACGTGGATTTTAAAAAAAATATTTTTTCCTAGAATTAAATTGAAGTGGATTTTAAAAAAATATTTTTTCCTAGAATTAAAATGACGTGGATTATTAAAAAAAAAAAAAATTCCAAGGATTAACTAGACGTTGGTTTTTAAAAAGAGAAATATTTTTTCAGGGGTTAAAAGGATGTTTATTTTAAAAAAATATTGTTTCCAAGGATTAAATGGACCCGGATTTAAAAAAAAATATCCAAAGATTTGAAAAAATAAATTGTGTATTTAAACTAAAAATTCTCCAAGGATTGAAATGGACGTGGGTTTTTAAATAATTTTTTAGGACTTCCGTTAGTCTTTTTTAAATACATTTTTTTTTGAAGGACTAAAGGACTCGTATTTTCAAATAAAATTTTTTGAAGGATTAACATAACATAGATTTTTTAACTAAAAATTTTTGAAGGACTAAATGGACATGGATTTTTAAATAAATTTTTTTTGAAGGACTAACAGGATATGGATTTTGTAAATACAATTTTTTGAAGGACTAACAGGACATGGATTTTTTAAATAATTTTTTTTGAAGGACTAAAAGGGCGTGGATTTAGAACTAAAAGAATGTGGATTTTCAAATATTTTTTTCTCCAAGAATTAAAAGAACTTGGATTTTTAAATAAGCATTGTTTGAAGGACTAAAAGGGCGTGTATTTTTATACATTTGAGAAACTAAAAGAATGTGGATTTTCAAATAAATTTTTCTCCAATAATTAAAAGGACATGGATTTTTAAATAAAATTTTTTCCCCAAGAATTAAAAGACTAAAAGGACTAAGAGGACGTGGATTTTTAAATATTTCTTTTCTAAGGATTAAAAGGATTTCTCAGGATTTTTAAGTAATTTTTTCTCAAAGAAAGCTCGTAGATTTTAATTAACATATTTTCCAAAACTGTAATTTTAAAATATGTTTCTAAGGATTTAAAGGACGTGGATTTTTAAATAATTGTTTTCCAATGTCTAAAAAGACGTGGATTTTTAAATAATTATTTTCCAATGTCTATAAAGACGTGGATTTTTAAATATTTTTTTTTCAAGGATTACAATGACGTGCATTTTTAAATAAATAGTGAGGATCACCACAACCTAACGTGGTCCTTTGAATATATCTTTTGAAGAATATATCTTTTTTCGAGGATGAAGGGCGGCCTCATTTGGATGTTCAAAGAACAAATTTTCAAACCCTATAAGGACGTGGGTTTTAAAATAATTTTTTCCAAGTATCATCAAACACAGATTTTTAAAGAATTAATTTTCCAGGGGCCAAAGGACCATCAAAGGTAGATTTAAACACAATTCCAAGGAGGATCAAAGGTGGATTGAAAAACAATTACCAGGACCATAAAATGTGGATTACTAAAGAGCTTTTCTTACAGGCCAATTTGTTTTTTTCAGGGGCCTTCAAACGTGAATTGTTAAATATTTTTTAAAGGCCACTAAGAAATATTTATCCAAGGACTTTTTTTAATGGATCCAAGGACTTAAAAGTTTTTAAATATTATTTCCAAAGTCTAAAATTGCGTTTTTTAATACTTAATTTAAATTAATTTAAAATGTGGATTTTCAAGAATATTTTGTACAAGGACAAATAATATTTTTTTTTGTTTTTTTTTTTTTTTTTAAAGATTTTTTTTATTTTAAAGATTATTATTAAATAGAGGTGTACTCCCTAGAATCTATTTTTAAGGACTCAAAACGTGGATTCATAAAAATGGTTTTTGAAGGATTCAACATTTTCATTTTTTTTTAATATTTTCAAATATAATAATATTTAATATATTTTCCAAGAACCACCAAACTTGGATTTCCAAAAAATCCAATGTGGATTTTTAAAGATTTCCTCTGTCAAGGATTAAATTACAAAAACGTGGATACTTAAAAAGTTTTCCAAAAACTAAAAATTGGAGATTTTTCAATGCTGTTCTAGGACTATAAGGACCAACCTAGTCCTTATCACTAAATTTGCAACTTTTAAAGCAATTAAAAGGTTTACATGGTAACACAGCCCCCTTCTCTACTCCTCTATATAGTTGAAATTGTCTTCTTTGCCGCAAAAAGATCTCCTTATATGGAAGGAAGCCTCTCTAAAAAAAGTTTTACAGTTAGTCGATATATGTCACTTTTAATTTCCCAGTAACTTAGAAAAATCTCTTCTTCCTTCCATTTTTTTTTTCAAAAACTTCTTCATTACCATACCACCCACCCCCTTCCACACCCGTACTATTCCAGTGATTGTTCCTTTGTGACACACGTATGCATACCACCCCTCCTCTCATCCTCCCTCACATCCTAAACAAACAAATAACAACTCAGCCTCTGTTATCTTTTTCTAAAATAAATTCCTTGTCAAGTGTAAATTTCTAAGAAATCATCTTTTTATTAACAATATTAAAGAGAATTTTGATGAGAAATTCTTATTTTTGGGAAGTATGTGTTGCCATGGCACTAAGAGCTGGGGGAGAGAGGAGGAGGTAGAACCGCACTACAATATATCCTCAAAGTTATCAGCTTGTGTTTGTCATAGTTGGTTTAACTGAAAACAAAATGAAAAATGAAATTTATTTCAGCCAATTGAAAGAATCTCCATAGTGATGGTATTCCGCAAATAATATATAAAAGAAATATATTACATTTGATTTCATACTCTTCTTCTTCGTCTTCGAATTCTGCCTCTTAATATTCATCTTCTTTTGTTTTGTCCATTTCAGGAATTGTGTATTCAAATTCCAGCCTCGGTAACGCCGTTATTATTCTTTCATTGTCTCTGGCTGCAGGTAAGCATTGTGCCTTCAATTTATTTCCATTTTATATTTAGTTATTAATTGGATGGATTTTAAATTCATGTTGGCAAATAAACAAATAGGCAGATTTCTTTTTTTTCTCTTTATTTATGTTGATAATCCATTGCTCCACGGGGGGCATTATTTCTATGGAAATTAATTGGTCCCGTTTTGGTGAAGTGTACACGTGGCTTTGTAATGAAAAAAACGAGTATCACTGTAAAATCTGAAATTTCAATAAAAAGATTTAGATGAACATTTGAAATTATTTTTATTTGTTTTGAGAAATTTTCAAGGATTTCGTAACAAAAACTAATGTTGTATTAAATATGGACTCAAGACGTGGACTTTTTAAAAAATACTGTCTAGGGACATTTTGCCCAAAATGTCATTTAAAGACTAATTTTAAAATGATTTTTTTTTAAATATTTTTAAGGATTTTTGGCTAAGAATGTTTTATTTTATTATTATTATTATTATTATTATTTTTTTTTTTTTTTTTGAAGACTTTTTGTCTAAAAATCTTAGTATTTTTCATGTAAGGTTTAAGGTTTTTTGCCCTAGTGATTAGATTTTTTACTTATTTATTTATTTATTATTATTTTATTTATTTATTTATTTATTTTTTTTTTTTTTGAAAACTAACAAGAGCCTTCGAATTCTTTAAAACATTTTCTTCAAGATCCTCCCGCACTCAAGATGTGGATTTTTTTTTCAAAATATTGGTTAAAGATTTCCTTGCCAGAAATCGTGGATTTTTTAAAAATGTCTTTCAAAAACTTTTTTAGAATTTCTAATATATCTATGAATTTTTTCCAATATTTTTAGTATTTCCTGAACCAGGATTTTTTTGTCAAAGATTTCCCGGATATATATATGAATTGTAGATTTTCCAAAAATATTTTCAAGGAATTCCAGGCTAAGAATCGTGGATCTTTACAAATATTTGTCAAGGTATCCTGGCTAGAAATCATCAAAACAAAGATTTTTGAAGGATCACTAATAACTACTTAACCAAGGACTGATAATGAAAATGTTATACGAATATTGTCCAAGGACTAAGGACATGCATTTTTATTGAATATTTTTTTACCATGGCTCGAGCAAACGTCCAACGTGATTTTAAATGGATCCAAGAACTTAATAAGGATTTTTATATTATTTTCAAAGTCAAAAAAACTCGCTTTCTTCACTCACTTTTGCCCAAGGACTTAAAATATACATATATATTTTTTTAAGATTATTTTTTCCAAAGGTTCAAAGAGGTGAGGTTTCGTAAAAACTATTTTTATGGACTACAAAACGTGGATTTATAAAAATGATTTTTTCAAGGACAAGGACAATTTTGAAAAATATTTTTTATTGACTCCCCGGCACACTTTATTTTTTTTTTTTTAATATTTTTCAATAAATTTTTGACCGAAAATCCTGGATTTTTATATAATATTTCAAGGACTTTCTGACTGAAAATTTAGAATTTTTTCAAGGACCTCTTCACTGAACATCGTGGATTTTTCATCATAGACTTCCTGACTAAGTCTTCTTTTTTTTTCTTCTTACCGAAAATCCAGATTTTTCGTGGATGTTTAAAGATATTTCTTCAAAAGACTCCTAATCAAAAATGGAGCATTTTTCAAGAAATTTTTTCAAGGACCTGCTTACCACAGATCGTGGATATTTTAAAGATTTTTTTTTTTTCAAGGACCTCCAGACGGAAGTCAATATTTTATTTTAAATATTTTTCTAGGGCATCTATATTTTTTAACAATTATCTCTGTTCTGTAATTGAAAAAAAAAAAAAAAAAAAAAAATACTTTCTTAAATCAAAAAGTGTTATTTTCCGACAAAAATCCTGAATTTTTGCAAAGAATTTTTTTCAAGGATTTACTTCTGATTTTTTAAAAATCATTTATAAGGGCCTCCTGGCCAAGAATAGTGGACTTTTTCAATTCCTGAGTGAAACCGGTAATTTTTATGTAGACTCCAAAAAGCTGTCTTGCCTGAAATCTTATTTTTTTAGGGAGATTGCCTTCTGGCCTGTTATTGAAAAAAAAATTAACAAAATGTTATCATGAAAGATATCCTGACCAAGAATAATGGATTTTTTTAAATATGTTTCGAGGAAAAAATCGTGAATTGTTATAAAGAATTGTTTTCAAGGACCTGGTCGGGAATCGGCGACTTTTTAACAATATGTATTTGTTCTATTAGTTCCTGAGCGAACTCAAAAATGTTTGTATATAAGTTTTGTTTTTTTTCAAGGACCTTTGGACAAAAATCTTGAATTCCAAAAGAATCTCCTATTTTCAATTTTTTTTTTTTTTTTTTTTTTTTTTGTGACAAAGATTTAGAAAAAATAATCCGTAAAAATTTGTGAATTAAAAAAAATGCTGCTGTTCACAAAATTTTTCTGGCTTAATTTTATTTTTTTAAGAAAAGGACCTCCACATCAAATATCTTGATTTTGTTTTTTAAAAAGGACCTTGTGATCGAAATTAACTTATTTTATAGGAAAAGGACCTTTTGAATAAAAATCACGATTTATAAAAAAAAATTGTGGACTTTGGAAGAATACATTTTTATGACTCCTTTGTAAAAATCGTGACATTTGTTACAATATTTTTTCCTTGGACTTAAAAAAAAAAGCTTTTTAGAGATTTTCAAAATTAAAAAAAATGTCCTTTTTTAATTATATAAATTTATGTTTATTATTCCAATTTTGTTTTTTTTTTATGACAAAAATTTAGGAAAAATACTCCATAAAAATTTGACAAAAAATTAGAAAAAATACTCCATAAAAAATTGTGAATTAAAAAAAATTCTTCTGTCCACAAACTTTTTTTGACTTTCTTTTATTTTTTAAGAAAAGGACCTACACATCAAATATCTTGATTTTTTTTTAAAAAAAGGACCTTGTGATCGAAATTAACTTATTTTATAGGAAAAGGACCTTCTGAACAAAAATCACGATCTATAAAAAAAAAATACTGACCGCCAAACCGAAAATAGTGGACTTTGGAAGAATACATTTTTATGACTACTTTGTAAAAATCGTGACATTTTTTAGAATATTTTTTCCTTGGACTTCATGGATTTTTTTAGGAAAACTTTTTAGAGATTTTTTTAAAATTAAAAAAAAATCCTTTTTTTTAATTATATAAATTTATGTTTATTATTTATCATAGGATGAGGGTATATATCCGTTGTCACACCGGCTGATACATTCTAACTAGTTTAACTTACAATTTTATATGGCCAGCTGATGCTGGCCAAAATGCATTTTTTTGGTTGAGTTTCATGAATTTCCGGCTACTGCTTATTTTCGTGAAACAACAACTGATCGTTAAATGTTTATTTTTTGGTGCCAGTGCGGCTAGCAACGCTACCTGGAATTGTTTGTTCAACATTGTTGCATGTCATTTTATGGCATGATAGTGAAAAGTTGCAACAACGGAAAATAGTTCGGGATGTTTTTGTTATTGTTTCGTCGGTGCAATACCCCAGTAGTTGGTTTTTCTTATAAACAAGACCAGGAAATTTGGATATTTTTTGATTTGGATTTTTTTTTGGAAAATTAAATGAAAGCAGTTGCACTATGATCCTCATTGTAGTCTGTAGCAGATGTGGGTCAACTACTTTATGGAAAAGGTCTCAGTAATCTAATATTTAATAGATGGCCCCACAAGATATTTATCGAGAAGGCTCAAGAGCCAATCGCTGCCATAAAAATGGGTCGACATATACTCTCTAGAAGATGACCATAAATAGAAGACCATCTTCAAAAGCGGCGTAGCTGTAGTAGGATATGTAAAAAAAAACATATATTTTGAACACCTGTAATTGGTCTTCTACCTCTTCACGACCCATTGAGGACTTTCGAGCCATAAAAATTCTGTTCAAGACATTCAATAACAATAATCTCTATGGTATATTTTTATGTATAGAAGGTCATTTAGAGGACATTTATTGATCCCTATAGACGATTTCAAGGGCCTTTAAAGCTCTGCAGTTCTACTATGTGTACATCACCACTAGAGTGGTGCCAATCTAGTGAATTGTTCAGTAAATCAGTTCCTAAACGTATGAGTGATTTCATTAACTTCATATCACTCATACGCAGAGTGTTCATACAAACGACCGGAGTCCATGGAACTAGATAAGGTACTAGTTCCTTTGGTCGAATTAGAATCGCAAAACCCTAATTACCACATATGCGTAAAGATAAATTGGCTTTCAGAATATAATAAATCTATATTCAAAATCAAATTCCGATATCGAAAAACATTCGACTCACTGATATCCGATATCGGAAATTGATTTTGAATATGAAGTTTTTATATTCTGGAAGCCCCTAGGTAGACCTTTCAATGGAGTATCCTAGTTTTCTAAAATTTGATAGGTCAAAACTTACCTAGTGGAAATAACGCTTTTAGACCTTAGGTCTCTTTGGACCAAATCCGTTTTAGGACATTTGGAGTCGATCTAGCGATGTCCGTCCGTCTGTCCGCCTGTCTGGCTGGTGCGCCCGATAACTCTCGAAGGGAGTATCTGATTTGGTCCAAACTTGGTAAATCGTAGTATTATTATCAAACTTAGATCGAGTTCGGAGATAGACAATATAGGTCCACTCCTTGTACCAACGACATGAAAGTTCGGAATTTTCAATTTTTTTTATTTCTGCACAGAAAGAGAAATAATAATCTGATTTTGCACCAACTTTGCAAATCCTAATATTTGCGTCAGTGCTAGGTCAGATGCGAAAATCGACAATATCAGTCACTCCATCAAGTACCACCCCACAAAGGGTCAACATTTTTAATAATTTTAACTCTTATAAAATGTGATGCAAGAGTTCGGTTGCCTTCAAATTACAAACATCAAAATATTTTTATTAACCCAAAGTCTGGTGTTAAGATGGAATATAGGTCTACTCCTTCTAGTATCTCCTCCAAAAAAGGTCGAAGTTTTCAAAAAAAAAAATATTTTACTGCCCA